TGAGAAACTCTGTGAGTGTCGCGGGACACTCTCCAGTATAGCTCAATGGATCGCTGAGGTGCGCAAACCGTCAGACCACGGTAAGGTCCAGTCTCTTTATGACGGAAATAATTTTTGGAATTCTGCGCAGCTGTTCATGGGTGAAGCATGTCCCCATCTAGTTCTGTTGCGTTTGTATCCTCGGCTGAATCATTTACTCCGTATTCCATTGTGATATTCTCGTCTTCCTCCTTAGTTTTCATGGAACACTTCTTCAGGTTTGAAGTTCTTTGATTCATTTGGTACACGTTCCATTCCTTTATGCCTTGATTGACTTGAAACACCTCAGCTACCTGTGTTCGAGTTAGCCTCTAAGATGCCCCACAGATGCCATACAGTCAAAAATCAAAAAGTAAAAAATCAATAAGTAGCCAGGCCATTGCGTTTATACCTTTGATGCCTATGAAGAGAACGTCCAGAGAAGTTGTTTGGGCATGATCCACCGAGAAATAATCTCCCATTAGGTATTTTCAAGTTTCTTAACTGCTCGTTTAATTGTCTATCTAGTCCAATGTCCACGTGATTCGAATCAGGAATTTCCAACTGTTTAGCTGAAATTTTCGTCCAGTGGATATGACATGCGAGCAGTGCACTTCACATAAAGGCTTACTTTCACTTGGTAATTGATTCACAACACAGGAGCCAATCACGTTTCGCCACATATAATTAAGAAATGTAGACGAACTAGTTTATGGAAATCACAAGAGAAATGGCCTACTTCTCCATAGCCAAAAAAGAACTTAGAAATGCCGGTCACTTGCCTTGATTATCATGACAAGTTCTGATAAATGAAACTTAACTGTGTAACGTCTACGGGCTATCATCTCCCAGCCACGCTTGATAATTTAGTCCAATTCGGCGTGCTGATACACAGAATTGTGTCAGGTCTCACACTTTACAGAGACCGACTTCCTAGTGACCTCCGAGAAAATTTATCAAACAAGTGCGTCCATCGGCAGTCAACTAGTGTTTTCACTTCATGAAAAGCAAAAAGCGTCCCTTTCACACAGCCTGTAACGTTTTGGTGTCATGCCACTCGTTTAGCGAAGCTTAGGACAAGAAAATTTAGTACCACCAATTGGAATGTGATGGTGCCTTCGCAGTAAACTGAGCAAAATATCACTAGTGATGTGCAGTTATAGTTAAAACTGCTACCGATGACGCGAAAATGTACTAAAGAGTCTGATTCTAACTCGAATGAATTTTCAAATTAGCGATGAACGAGAAACCATGTCTGAGAAAACGAGCACATAGTTTTGCTGAGCTGGAATCGGTACATTTGAAGGGTTGAGCGTTTGTTTTGCTTGCAAGTTCCCCATGCATCGGAATTCAACCGGCCAACCAATGGTTGGAACTTTCACCCCCCGAGTTCGATCTTCTGTCCGCTATCGCCTGTCCAAGTGGTGGAATCATATGAAATTCACTGCCTTGGGTGAGAAGATGTTTATCTCCGTCGCGCTGAAACAACCAATCACATCGCTGTCACAGCTTTATTATGTTGCGTTGTCCTTCCACCGCCATCTTGACCGTGGGTACATTGAGTTGAAACTGAGGCTGACACGACTGCTCAGTTTTTGTGAACACTCCATACTACTTTAATGATCCAAGATAACGCAGTACTCAAAGATGATGATCGGTCAGATTACTCACCGTTAACAGAGTATCCTTCATGTGTGCCACAACACAGCCATTTGGCCCGTATCCAATCCCCTGGGAATCAGCTCACGTGTTTGTCTCGTCTCGGCGAGGGGAATTCCGCATCACCTATTGAACTGTGGGATAGTCTGATTTCGAATACTTCTGCCTATCAATTCCATCACCAAATTCTTCACACAGAGGGGCAAAAACAAATGTATCTACTAGCTCCCAATGGGCCACCCATATCTGATACCAACTGCTCTCCGAACAAACGAACTCATCTTCTCAGTATGACTCACACTTCAGATCCATCCAAATTGGAAGTAAACGAATTCAGTGACCTCCGCAAGCCAGAACCTTCAATTTCATTCATGTATCCGGACTCATCGACCGGCGAGGGTTGGCCAAGCTATGAACCAACCGATTTTTTCTCGCCAAATTTCGCCAAAGGTAAGTCAAGAAACGAGCATGTCTCCCCTCCGATCATTGAATGCAAAATTAGCCTCGTTAGAAACGGTCTACTCTGTGATCTGAATGCAGCACTGATCGGACTGTACCATACCTTCTAACAGATTGTTTTGCTACTATAGTTACAAAGGATAACCTGAAACGGATGCAGCTGGGTAAAGTGCCAGTTAACTGAGAGATTTGCGTTAAGCACTTCCGTGGCATAGAGAAGACTAGCTAATACTTATTTTCGCTGACTTGAAAGGTGATTATCTAATGTTATGGCGAGGAATAATTGCACCCAAACTCTCCGATGGCCGCTTTCGATGAAGTTACAATTTAAACAAATTGAAACACATTTATTCACTCCTAATCTACTCAGGTAAATTACCGACTGTTGTGAAGAATAGCTTTCGGACAAATGCACGACCGTTTAGCTGTAGAACCCCGACAGTCTCTAACTGCCCAGCCACCGGAAGGAAGCGCAAGGGTTGGGATAACGCCAGATAGCCCAAGCCTAGACAAGGGAAATCGAGAGGCAGAGGTCGGGGTCGAACCATGGACCTTCTGGTTTGTAACTTCGCGCTTCAACGACCAAACCATTTCGCCCCCATAAATGTATGGCGCAAAGTCCTGATTCTCGCCTGACTATCCTGCTCGTTCTACTCATTCGACTATGACCTGTAGTGCGTACAATACCAGGACAGCGACACAATACTGAAGAAATCAAATTAACTGTTTGACTGACTGCTACCACCAGACGAACAGGAAAACTTTTTGTTATCATTTTTTGCCATGAATTTTTACATACGAATTCTCAGTCATATTAAGGGTGAACTTACATCATCGCGCTCACCTCCCCAAGATTCACCAGACATCGATCAGCAGTGCCTAACTGCCATGTCAGCAGAAGAAAGAAAGAAGGCTATGATACTGCCAGGTTGTCAGAGCCTAGACGGGAGCAACCGAGATGCAGGTGTTGTGTTCGAACCCCAAACCTTCGGGTCTAAAAGTTCACGCCATAACCACTGGGCGACCTTGAGCTCCGTATGAGACAATCAACTGACCAGCATAAAAAGTAACCGTTTTTTGATAATCATGATCTTGGGAAACAATGTAGTAATGCTTTATCAAGCCGAAGCACATCCTTATAGGAACTAGAGGGTGGTACTGAAGCGTGGCTAGTTGGAAAGGCAGCGCCACTGAACGTTCACACGTGATATAATCGTGTTGACATGTACAGTCTTACTTTCGGTAACACTGCAGTAGTTATTCAAGGCCGTTATGTGCTCATCTACGGTCCGGTGTTCATCCGGGATCGCTAAACAACCTTGATCTTTTACAACACTTTCCAAGCCGCAATCACTGAAGCTCTGTGGGTACCTCACTCACAGAATACGCAATTCCCTCTCCAGCTGGTGACAATTTGGTAACTTTAGAATGCAGATTTAATCTTGGTCGAGTGCCACTGCTTCTCAATAGTGCTTCTAAATCACTTCGGTTTCGACTTCAGGTGGGCTAAATTCAAAACAATTTTCTTATGGAGTTTCTTCCATGAACAGCAGATTGGTATGGCGGTTAGACCCACTTTTGTTTCCAATGAGTGAACAATTTCATACGCTACCTGATTTGATTCACCCCCAACCTCCTTTTCTGTCCTTCTTGGACATACTTCTACCGAATCTACTTAGCTCTTCAAAGAAATTCCTTTAAGGATTGATAATAATTGTGTTAACTAAGTTTTTATTTCTCCAGTTTATGCGCCATGCTGATTTGTTCGGTGCGTTTTTCGCCTTGTGCCGTTGTATAACTGTTTCACGTGAACAGTCAGTTTTCTCATTTTGAGGTCGAACCTCGCACGGTCGATAAACCAATGGATTTAAAATCTACTTTGTCGGACGAACTCGTCCCCACGAAGGTTTTATGTCCAGAATATTAAACTGATCTGCTTTGAGCTTTCAGACTCAGAGGAAACGCTCGTATTCAACATGCAGTCAGATCCTTCAGCCAGTTAAAACAATAAAGTAACAATAATCGCTCAGCTGTAACACCTTTTCTGTGCACAGCTTCCAAGCCACCCGAAAGAAGCCGATATTTTGACCGAAGAACTTGAGGCAGCTCATCAGTCAAGGCACCAGCTCATATCAAATGCCGTGTTCAACCTATCAACGATTGATTTGTGCAAAGCGGACATTATCCAACTTACCAAAACTACTGGATAATGTTCAAAGGTCTATTGGTTTTGGGGCGAGATGGCCCAGTTGGTTACAGCGCGAATTTTTTGATTGGAAGGTCCCGAACCTGACCTCTGCCTCTCAACTTCCCCTATCTAGGCTTGGGTGAGCTGGGAGTAGTCTTGCCCTCGTGCTTCCTTCTGGTGGCTTGGTAGTTAGGCGTCGAAAGGGTGCCACGGTTGATCGATTTTTAAAAATTGGTTTACTAATAGTATAAATGAGGCCAGATTTGTCTCGCGGAGATCTTTTATCACAGATACTCATCATTATGAATATAACACTGAGTGAACTGTTGTGTCCTGTAAAGTTGGAACGGTGTTAATACTTATATAGACAGTACACTACACAAGTTTGCTGAATACTCTTGGACAGCCCACGAACAATTTCTTCTCGAGACTCATCAGTCAGGCACATTCGCCAAAGTTTCATGAGCCTCCTGTTCTGCCTGAACCAAAATGGCACGAAATGCGACATACAAACGGATCTGCCTGCTAACTTTGTTTTGACGGAATACCCTCCGGGAACCCGACTGTGTCTCTTGTCTATGACATTCGCGGGCTTTCGATGTTTTCAGACTCGCAACCTAACCGCTACTAGTTGGAGGTTAAACAATTCAGTCACAAGTGGCTGTTCAGCCGTGTGATTAGCTCTCAGGTGGATAGAACATAGCACCAATCATTCTTCTACCCAAGGTCGCGTACTTATTTCCCCCACCGACTGGCGACTTCGCCGATGGACGACCCATTCTTCGCGTGAGTTATTCCTCTTTCTGAGCTAGTTTAGGGCACATCACGTTGAGACGTTGTGAGTTGCGCAATGCTGAGGATCCCTGTTAAGAAGGAACAGTCCGTAGGCTACTTTTCTGCTTTAAGCGTAAACTGGCCTTGCTTACAAGACATTTGCCTGTCATTTAAGAAGAAACCAACAGCGTTTCACTTCAGGACTACCAAACTGCCGTCCAAAGTCCGACCAAATAAGAAGTGGCCTAGGAGAGCAGACTGATGACCTTGTCAAAGTACTACGATGGCACAGAAGAATCCACACAACATACGACAAAAATCCTCACTAGGCCAGTTTCAATCTTTCTGACAGCAAAATTCATTCATGACTATCCCACTAGAATGGTTTTCCAGGACACGGCGGTGTGATCATGCGGCCTCACGTTAGTTACATTTTGGCAACACAGTGTGCTCCTTTTGACCAACATGTTGAATGGAACAGAAGAGCGGAACACACTCATTTGCAAACCAATTTGGTTTTGCGGGAGACTCACCTAGAACCCAGCTGACACTCTCGGTTACGGTGTTTTTAAGTAACTGAATGTGCCGCGCCAGGCCACCTCTAATGCAGTTAAGAGATCGTGTGTCTGTTATATCTCGTTCGTATTACGCATTCTGATGAGTATGTGACTGCTGGCAAGCACTGCAACTGGGGTTTATACAATGCTATCCAATCTGATAAGAGCCTCACACATTCAGATGAGGAATATGAGCCACTCTCAAACAGTAACGTCTGGAATGAGCTGATATACTGAATCTGACTATAAACAGTACCCATAATATCGTTGTTCAATTTTTTTATACGCGAGCACATAAATGAAACTGGCGAGTGCTCCCCAACCAAAGTTCAGAGGCAGCTTGCAGGCTTTGGCATAAACGAATGTCTTTTCATGCGAAAAGACGAGAGGTTGGTTCATACAACCCCAAGGAGTGTGTGTAGTTCCAGAAAATAGTCTTGAATTAGGGTACCAGTCTAACAGATGTTATGAACCCAGCCAAAGTGGCCTTTTGATCGAAGGAACCGAATCGGACGTTTGCTACTGTGAGCATATGATGCCACAAGTAACTCAGCTAGTGAAATACTGGATGCAATCATGAATAGATGATTCACAGAGCAGAAGCTAGACAAGTTTGTGCTTGGTGACCTGCGTCGCGTCATCATCGAAGTTTTTATTATTCCCACCCCCATCTGCACCAGTTGTTCAGCGTGGTCACAGGATCTCCAAGGGCTGACTTACACATCTTTGAGAAGCGCTTGCTTCGGCACTCTGAATGTTGCATTAGTGACTCAGAGCTGTGTTATAAATTAGAGGTCATGATGCGTTCAGCACCTGGGATGATTATTAGGAATCAGTTTGTTGGTGCCGGTTTTTGATGATTGGTGGTTGTCCAGTGGTTCGATAAAACGCCTAATTATCATGCTAAAACGATAGTCTTTCACTAAAGAAATCTGAACCATCGGTTGAAATGACTGGAGATTTCCCCCACAATGTGGTTGGAACAATGCGGGCACTAGTAATATCTCTTTCCTCCATGGCATAAAAACGGGAAAGTAAACGAACTAACTCACCTTGCCACAATCTGCTTGAAACGACTACATGTATCTTCTATTCTTGTTTGTCTATATACAATTATAACGAAATTTCAGCACGTAACGATCTACTCTTCCAGTACCAACATTTACTGTCTCTGTTCAATTGGTGCTCAGAGACTTGGCGACACAGTTTCCTATCACCTGTTTGGTGTGGTTGTTGGGAAAAAACATCAAAAATATTTCGTCTAAAACAGGTAAATACGCAGGAATCCGTGCAAACAGAAATGAACAGGTAGCCTCAAGACTGTGTGATTGTTTCACTGTATAAACAGTCAGCTCTGACAGTTGAGTGGCCCTAGAGTCTTAATAAAACTATTCTACAGTAGAATGGCAACATTCCTCACGAATTTCGCGCATCCCCGACATTTTCACAGGCTCGACTCATTTTGTCAAATG